GTTTAATTCAATTAATTGAAAATCCATCTCAAATTCAATTCAAAACAATTATACCTTTAATGTAAGAGATTGCTGATAATAAATTAGTAATAATTATTGCATCTCAATGTGATATTTGATCTCATAATAAAACATAATTTATAAATATGAATATGTTATGAATATTAATAAAAATTAAAATTCCAATTTCTCAAACTCTATTTAATTTGAATAAATAATAAAATATATTTTTTTTAATATGGATATTTTTATCGTAAAATAAAAATAAACTCCATTCATATGAAATAATTGGAATCATCTAAGATTTATATCTTTTATTAACATTAATATTAATAATAAATAAAAATGCAATGTTAATATTAAGACTATAATATTAATATTAAGACAATAATATTGATAAAATAAATCCTCAGATAACTTTATTAGAAATACATCAAAGACCAAAATTTCATATATAATTAATTTTTATTGGTATTAATAAATAAACTATTGATATAATTATTTTAAATTCAATTAAATTAAAAAAATTTAAATATTTTTTTAATTTTTAAATTAAAATTAAATTTCATTTATTTCAAATGATAATTTTGAAAAATATTGATATTTATTAATTGATATTTATTAAATTTTTTTGAAATTTTAAATAATAACTAAACTAAAATATTATAAATTTAATTTACAAAATTAATGTTTTTAATTAAACTATTTAGCTAAGAATTAAATTTAATTTAATTTGATTTTTATAAATAAAATTAATAAAATAGATTAAAAACTTGTTAAAGTGATATTTTTAATAATAATGTATTTTATTTTATTAATATTTCATTATAATATTTATTATTTAAGATTTTTGATTACAGATTTTTAATAATAGAATTTTTAATAATAAAATATATTGTTATTATTATTTTATATAATTATTTAAAATAATTTCTATATAATTATAATCGAGTTTAATGATTGTTTTTAATTTATTTAGTATTTTCTGTTTATGAATTAATTTTAAGTTTATCTTTATTAATTAGATTAAATTATGAATTTGATCATAAAAATTTAAAAATAATTAATTTGATTTATTTAAATGATAATAATAATAATTTTTATATATTTATTTTAATAATAATTATAAAAGTCATAAAAGTTATAATGAAAATCGATGATTATTAAGATTTTATTTAATATTTTCTAATAATTTTTTCTTTATATTATATTATTATATTTTGTATTATATTTATTGACTTAAATATATATTAATATTTATTTTAATTGAAATAATAAGTTTAAATTTATATTTAATATTACTTATTTATTTATTAATATCATTTTTGATAAAAATTTCTTTATATATTTCATAAATGAACTTATTAGAAGTTGAAAATGTTGAGATATTTTACTATCAATTAATAATTTTGGTATCAATCATATTGAAATTAGGAAAATATGGATTATTATCATTAATAATAATTTATAAAATATTATTTAAATATATTAATAATTTTTTAATTATTATTAATGTTTTTTTTAATTTTAAAATTAATATATTTATATTAATATGATGTAAAATCAATTATTGCTATTTTATCTATTGTTCACATAGGATTAATAATTATAAGAACAATAACTTTTTAGCGTTAAGATTATTAGGAAGACTATTATTTAATAATAATTTCTTATGGATTAAGATCAGGATTATTTTCTTTATTATATATTTATACATAATCAAACAGAAATTTTGAGGACTATAATTAAATACATTATCAAAAATAAAACAAATCAAATAAAATAAAGGATTCAAAAATTATAAAAATATTAGATATTAATTTGCTTAAAAAAATAATAAAGAATGAACATGCATAACTTTGAAACTTACTTATAACATACATATATATATATTACAATATATATAATTTATATTATTTATTTTATTAATATATAATTTAAAATTATTTATTTATATATATTTAATTTGAATTTTATTATATTTTAATTTTTTTATATAAAAGAATTTCAATAAAAGTGACATATAATAATAATATCATTATTGAATTATAAAAATTTTGTAAAAATATATATAATATATATATAATATATATATAAATGTAATCTAATCTATATAATGATATTAATAATATCATAAATTAATAACAAAATAAAAAGAAGTTTCAAAAAAATGCAAATAAATAAATTTTTGTCTTATAACTTACATTTGCTTGTAGAATATCCTTTTGTTTGAATGCACGATTGAGATCATTCTAATATATTCTATATAAGGAAAAAGAAATTTCTTATAATACATATAAAATAAAAAATATTATAAATTATAATAATTTTTATAAAATAATAAAAATTACTTTTAATTAAAATATAAAATAATTTAAATGAAAATAAATTATATTCAATGAATTTTATTAATATTAAATGAATTTTATTATTATTGTTTGATAAAATCTGATTTAATTTTTAAAACTATCAATGACATTTTTTATACAAAAATAATGCAATGTATTTTTATAAAAATGCAATGTATAATATCTATATCAAATATAAAATGCATAAAATAAAATAAAATAATAAAGATCAAAATTTAATTAAACATTATCTTAAACATTTAATTAAGAATTAATTTATTAAGACATCAAAAATTATTGTCTTTTTGTATCTTCTAATAGTTTTTGATGAATATATTAAAAATATTATAGATTTTAAAAATCTATTAGTTCAAAACTTATTTATAAAATTAATGATTTTAAATATATTTAGTAGATTACGCCATGTTGATTTGTATCATTCAATAAACGGAGTTATTATTTGTATAAAAGTGACGATTATTTAAAGAAAATAAGTCAAATTCAATTAAATATTTATTTTTCCAATTTATCCGAATAATTTAATGATACAATTGCAACGATTGTTTGTATGTTACGAATCGATTAGAAATTGAAATAAAAATAACTTACCAAAATAATAATCACGTTGCTACTGCGGTAAACGATCAGAGAAAAATTAACGTTAACCAATTCAGTATTTTGAAATTATTATTTAACTGTTCCCCACATATAGCAGTGACTTCGCTCATTGGATAAATTGTAAATAGAAATCAATGTGGCATTCTAGTAACTTATCAAATAAAATTTAAAATCACTAACTTTACATATAAATAATTTTTAAATCAGATTCCTATATTTAAAATTAACATTTTTGGATTTTATTCGTCAAAATTATTAGAAAGTATAAGAAAAATTAATAATTTGTAATGCATTAAAGTGAAGTTTAACTTTAAATTTTTACAAGTTACTTTTAAATTATTAGCATTTTAAATTAATAGAATAGACATAATATTTTATAAAATTTATTGATTCAGACGTTCAATAATTTAATCAAGTGATGAATAATTTAGTAATTTACTGAATAGGCACTAGAATTTAGTCGAGACACTAGAATTTACTAACATGATTCATTTCCATAAGTTACTAAAACGATTATTAAAAACTAAAACGACATTCTAGTAAATCCATTCTGTTGAATTTTTCTAATCATCTTTCCCACTCATTAGAAAGTAATTATATCTACTATCTATAGAATTACTCTTGTAAAGAAAAAAATATATTTTTAAAAATAATATATATTTTTTAAAGAAAAATATGTCTCTTTTTTGTATTCTTATTATTTCTATTTTTTTTATTTTATTTTATTTATTTTTTATCAAATCTTTTTTTGAAAAATGTTTAAAAAAATATCATTAAATTTAAAATGGATTTTATTTTAAATAATCGAATAATTAAAAATTGTAAAATTCTGAAATATTGAATATTTGTTAATATTATTTTTCAATATTGGATTAGGAAAATTATTTTCGTTAATTGGAATACTATGTATAAAAAGAGAGAAATCGTTTCATATTAAAAAGTTAAATCAATATTATCAATAATGTATAATTATAAAAATATTATAATGTATAATTATAACATATAACTAATTTTATAATGAAATAGAAAATGATAATAAATTGCTATCAAAAATCAAAAGAATGTGAAATTGAAACTAAAAAACTAATGAAACTAAAGAAATCTTATTGATTTTTTTGAAAGTATTAAGCTATAATATTTTGAATTTAAAGATATATTTTTTTTTATTCAGAAATGTTATTTCATTTAATAAAATGGATATATTTAAATAAAATTTTTTTTCACAAATTATATCTTTATTTATATATTATATATAAATCATTGTTGATGAAATAAATCTTATATTTGTATGTATATTTGTATCATGCTTTTTTTTAGTTGATTTTTAAAGTTTTCTTTAAATATTTTCAATTTCTGATCTTTATTTTTATTATATTTTTAAATTATTATTTATTCCACTTGACATTATATCTATTCTATTTGATTTCCAGAGTAAGCTCAAATGTAACTAAATTAATTAAATTTTTTTTTTATACATTAAACTGTTCGCTATTCGAAAAAATTATTAGACCGAACCAGTTTTTGAAACTCGTTCCAATATCATTTTCAAAATACAATATAAATTCTTATATCTATAATTTATTACTATATGTAAGAATTATATTAATTTTTTTCTTAAAGATAATATATAACATATATTATACATATGTATATAGAGTAATCTAAAAATAATGAAGCTTTCTTAACTTAACTAGAAATTCTTGAGGTAATTTCAGGTAAACTTTTTTCTTCATAAATATTTTTGTTTTGCTATTACGAGTTGTTAACAAAAAACTTTGTCTACAGAGTAAGTAAACTTCTCGGTCGTGACACAATGATAGCGTTGGGTATGTTTCTGGCGAATTATAGATTTCAATAAACAGGTCAAAGCAATATGTGTTGAAACAAATGTCTTGAATAATTATTGACTAAAAGTTATATGGAATTATATATTAATCCTAAATAATGAATAAATAATAATTATTTATTTTAAAGTAAAGTAATTTACTTTACAATAATTATACTTCGTTGAAATTAATTTTAATATATATAAAGAATATTATTCTAAATAACTTTTTCTTATTACCTTTTCTAACTTAATCAGTGGTCTTTTACAGTTTTCGAAATATTTATAAAAAAAAAAATTAGTTTAAAATGACATAAATTTTCGATAATATTTTGCGTTTTATAAGATGTAGATTAAATTAGATTAAATTTAAAAAATAGATATATTTTTCTGAATATTTTTCTAAATAGATTATATTTTTCTGAATAATTAAATTTTTTTAAATAATGGCAATTATGTATATTTTATAAATAAAAATATAAATGAATAAATATATAGAATAACTTGAAAAATTTATTTATATACATTATAGTTTCTCGTATAATTTATTTATGTTTATTTAACATATATATTTAATAATGTAAAAGTTTGGATGCTCCACTTCTGCTATCTCTGTTCTATTAGAATTTAATTTGATTCTTTTTATTTTAATTATTATAATTACCTAAAAATAATTTTAAATTAAGCTAGATTTTTTATTGTATAAGAGGAATATTTTGACTTTAATTTCATGACATATATATACGTATACATTCATAATACATAAATTTATAAATTTTCAGTTCTAATTTGGAAAAAGATCTTAGGAAATACCTAGTATTATTATGTTCAATACAATAAACACTATAATATATTTTTAATGTGTTTTAAAGCTAAAAATATGTTATATATATAGGAAAAAGTTATTCAAAATAGTGATCTTGACAATATATTTCAAGATTAACAAGATCAAGTTTATTTACATGATGTTCTTTCGAAAAAATAAATTATTGAATAAATTAATTGTAAAATAACTTCTTAAACTAATAAAAAAGCATGTAAAAGATATTAATATATTCCTGAGATATCTTTAAATGATCAATTCTAGAGGTCAAAACAAACACAAATGTTAATATAAAATATCGATTGTAATTTATTAAATTATTTTATTAATAAGTTATATTATTAAGTTATTAGATATTTTAAGATAGAAACAATTTTTTGTAGGAAAAAAAATTCGTATAAGAAATAAAACAGAAAAAATATCGTAATCTGGTTCTATTTTCATACTGCCGACATCGTAATGATTTCAAAAATAGCGAAAAAAATTGCATATAATAGAATTTTTCAAAATTGTATAATTTGAGAGACAATTGTTATATGTTGTTTTTAAAGATAATATGAATATATTTTTCATATTATCCCTCATAATTATATTCAAATCATAGAACATCAGAAATTTTGTTCTTTTAAAATCGATATTTTGGAATAAATAACACAAAATTCCATATCTATTTTATGTTCATTTATTAATTTTATTTATTAAATTTTATGTCTGCTAATAATTTTATTTATTAAATTTTATGTCATTTATTTATTAAATTTTATATCTGCTAATAATTTTAAATTAGTTATTAGTTATAAGAATTTAATATTGAATTAATAATTTCTTTTTTTGTATTCAAAATACTCAATTTTTATTTTTATAAAGAAAATGATTATTTTTTTTTATTCCAACATATTTATTAAAGCTATATCATATATAATAATAATAAAAATAAAGAAAATATGTTTCCTATAGTAACAGATAGGGAACGTATTTACAATTTTATGTATTTATAATCTTAAAAAGTGAAAAGAAAAAGATGTTACGCTAATAGAGGACGAAAAGACACAAATTATATATAATAAATATATAAAGAAATCAAATTTAATGTTTTATAAAATATTTATAAAAATTTTTTAATATTAATTATTACTTTTTAGACATATCATTGTAGAATTATAATAATCCTGCAATAAATATTATAATCTCTGTTAATTTTACTTATTTTTTTGTGAAATATTATATGATGTGTCAATTATGTGATTAGAAAATTTTTATATAATCAATAGCGCATTATATATTATAATATTTTAAAAAAGAAAACTTTTTGTAAAAATTTTATACTATTTTGGAAATATTTATTTATATGTTATTTATATGAACAATTATTTTCATACTTAATTAACTTATATTAGATCAAATCTAATTAATAAAAATCTATCACTATAATAAAAGTTGTACATTCACAATCATAATCTCACAAATCTTAAAATATTAACTAGAGATGACAAATTTTTGACAAAAAAGGGTAATAGAAGAAAGATAATATCATTTAAAATTTAATAATAAATATTATTAATTATATTAATATTATTATAATACATAATATTATTATTAATATAATTTTTATACATTTATCATTTATTAATAAAGTATAATTATACTATTATAATAATTATATATATGATAATTATAAGTATAATAATTATGTCATGCTTACTTCTATTTTTCTCTATCTTTCTCTCTTTTTTCTTCTTTGTATTCCTTTTAATATTATTATATATATATATATATATATAAAATATATATAATATATTAATAATAATATATAACTTATACAAATTAAAAAAAATATAATTATGTATTTATGATTAAAAATGAATTTATAAATATATTATATATTATATTATAAATGCTATATATATATTTATTTATAAGCATTTATAATATAATATATTTATAAATATATATACATATATATTATATAATATATACATATATATTATAAATGTTTTTATTTTTGTTTAACTTAATTATAGTTTAACAATAATTTAACGAAACAAAATAATTTTATTTTTTAATTTATTTATTATAAATTGAATTTTTTAAAATAAATATAAAAAATCTGTCAAATTTAAAAATTATTGTTAAGAATAATAATATAAATATATATTGTTATACAATTCGCATATTATTTGTTTTATAAATAATGATTGAAATGAATTTATCATTTTTTATCACAGTTTGTCTTATTTGAAAAAGAGAAAATAATGCCATTGCTATTTCGTCAGGACACGTGTATTAAATTACATTTTCATGTGAACTAAAAATGTCATGATTTTTGTTATTATTACATAATAAAATAATTCTGTATGATAATGTGATATTATTAATATATTACCAAGTTCAATGTCATGACAATGAGATAAAAATTATGATATTTTATAAAAGTAATAATTTATTTGTGAAAATGTATTTTAACACACGTGTCTAGATAGATGGCGTAGCAATCGGGTTTTGATATTTTCTCTTTAGTTATCCATTTCCTCTTTTACTATTTCCAAATGAGTCTAAGACTTCAGACACTGAAAATGTAGAGATTCATGTAATAATCATGCTTATCCTTAAGAGTTATGAAATAAATTACATATGATAACACTAATACATAGCTAATTTATTTTATAATTTTCAGTAATAACAGTAAAGAAAAATTTCAACTGAATTTTAAATAATATTTGATAATAAATTTGAAATAATTAGTTAATAAGTTATTTTTTAAAAAGTGAATTTAGTGAAAAATATTTTTATAGTGATTTTCTTATATCCCTTATAAAAGTTTCGAAACATGATTCAATAAAAATGACTATGTATGAGATTAATGGTGAGTATTTTATTTAATATATATATATATATATATATATAGTAATAATATGTAGTTTAAAAACAAGTAATTTCAGATGAAATATAGAGAATAAATTTTTATTTATTTGAAGTATTCTTAAAAATTTAAATGATGATTTTTTTATTTTTTTTAAATACTTTCTATTAAATTTCTTTGCATATTATATTATCATATATCAATCTATATATAAATTATTTTTCTTGCATATTAGATTAAATAAGTTTCTAATTAAAAGTTATAATATAAATCCTATAATATAAATGAGATATATTCAATAAATTTTTTATTTTTATTAATTTTATTTTATATTATTATATTTTTATTATTTTTATTTAATTTTATATTAACAAATGTTCAAATCTTTTTATCATATTTATATATTTTCCTCACTTAATAACCATTATTATTTATTTGCATTTAGGAATAACATTATTTTTTATAATGTTAAATATATTTAAATGCTACGTATTTACTTTATAGTAAATTTCTATTTATTATTTCATATTAAAAATAATTCATATATAAATTTGTATTATATTATATTAATATATATTATTGCATATATTATTATATTAATATATATTAATACTTTTATATTAATATTTATGTTATTATAGTTTTTACATTACTTATAAATTATATATAAGTAGATATATTCATTTAATTGTTTAAATTGAAATTATTGTAAATAAATCTAAATTGAAATTTATATAATAATAAACTCATCATTGATAATTCAGGGACAATTGGATGATATATAGTAAAAATTTCTTTATTTAAAAATTCATTTTTAGATTACAAGATAATTTAATTAAAATGTTATAAAATGTTTAAAATGATATGGAGTTTTTTTTTTATATTATATACAAAGATTACTTTCTAAATATAAATATAATTATTTTTAGAAATGATTGCTAGAATTATTATATTTTTTAATTTAATAAAAATGAAGAATATTATCAACATAGAATTTAATTAATATAAAATCTATACATAATATATATTTACATAATGTTTTGTGATACTGAAATTTTTAAATTCTGATTTTATATATTTTTAAAAGATTGAGAATTATTAAATAATTCTTATTAAATAATTAATTCATATTATATATTACATAATTTCAAGATATTGCTTCATTATTATATTAATAAAATTAATAAATATTCATATAATAATAATTATTTATAATACTTAAAATTTTATATTAATTTATTTGATATAAAATTTTTTACTATAAATTTTTTATTAAAAATTTGTATATTTAAAGGAAATAATATACAGAATATATAGAATATATAAAGAATAATATATATATTCACTTTATGGTTATAATAAGTTATGATATATTGTTTTGAAATTTATTTTGAAATGAAATATTAGAAGATATATTGAAATTTAATCTTTTTCTCAATATTCCTTTATGAATAATAATATTTTTATATTTATTGTTATGAAATTAATTAGAAATAAAATTAAAATAATTACAAATCAAGTTAATATATATATATTTTGAAATTGATTATTATTTTATTTTTACAATTTTGCAAAGATTGCAAATATATCTTAAATATTTCATAATTAATGATGATTAATGACTTTTAAAGATATTTTCTTAATTTGTATTATCCAATTATATTTTCATTTAGAATTTTTTTACATTCAAATCTTCTAATCTTAAAAACCATATTTTAAAATATCTATGGTTAATATTTTATATATAATATGATATAATATCTATATGAAATTAAAAATGAATTTTAGAATTTCAATCCTTCTATAAATTCTATTTTTATATTATATAATTTATATATTAATTATATTGTCAATGTACATTGAGATAATCATAATTTTTTTTGATAGTAAAATTGTACTTTTTCTATTTCAGAGAAATGCTTATATTTATGATTATTTTAGGTTTATGTTCCATATTTATGATTAGTTAAGATTTGAAATGTTTCAAATTATTTTGAATTTGAAAATGCAGAAAATTCAAATTATTCATATGATTAAATATGAATCTAAAATCATAAAATTATAGTAACGAAAAAAAAAAAATAAAACTTTTAATAAAAATATTTAATATTGAATATTTAATATTGTTTGTAAATTCATAAGATTAAAAATCTATTAATTTACTATCTGAACATTACAGGATAAACTTTTTAAAAATGCATTATTAATTTGCAAGAATATTGCAAATATATTGCAAATCTAAATTATGAATCGAAATTACGAATCTATTTATTTATTTTTTATTTAATCTATAATCTATTTTCTATAAATTGATGAATTTTATATACAATTATTAAATGAATAAAATATCAATTATACTAAAGAAAAAACATATCAAAACCAATATTTAAATTATATATTTAAATTATATAAAAAATTGCTATTTTAGTTATTTTACTATAAATATTTAATATTCAAATATTTTTGTGCAAAAAATATTTATGATTTTTTAATATTGTGTTATTATATAAAGTTTAATAAAAAAGTTGTTCATATTATGTTGTTTATATTTTATAATAAATATTTTATTGAAAGAAATAAATTTGAATTCATTTCTTTTATAATTAATAAACTAAAAGTATAAATTATTAAAATTAAGCATATTTAGTGCTTGAATATTATTATAAATAATTGTATGCATGATATTGTATGATATTTGTATGCAAGTATTATTTTGAGAAAACCATAATAAAATTTTGAAAATTGTTGATCAATTATATAGTTTATTTAACAAAAAAAATTATGTTTTCTGCAAATTTCATAATTTTTGAATATCAAAAATGATTAAATAGTGTCTAATATAATGATCTTCAACGTGAGATTTTTGTTTTCATGAACAAATGATCATATTTTTTTTATGAGTTATTAGCATATTTAATATTTATCTATAACAAGTTTTAGGTTCGCAAAATGCGAAAATAAAATAAAATCATCTATTAATAAGTAAAATTGCAATGATCAAATTACAATGATAGCAATATCAATATTATATTTATTATCTATCGTAATTTTGATCGTCCAAAAATTATATTATATTTTGTGTTTGTATTTCGTAGGTTCGAAGAATTTTAAAAATATCCAAGCTCTCTGTAAATTGATATATTGATTCTTATGTATTAACAGAGATACGAAGAACCAGTAAATTTCAAATAAATTGGCTGTGATATGCATGATGTTTGGATCAGTGGTAAAACAGCCACAAAAGGATTTGAATACATGGATTTTTTAAAAAATTACCAAAAAAAATTCTATGTTAAAACATATAATTAGAAATAAAATTCAAAAACATAACGTACATGTAACAATGAATATCAATTTCGAATATTTATTTATTTCGTTTTACATACAGATCATGAATTCAAATCCTTGAATAAATACATTTTTTTTATATTTTATAAATTTTTTTAATATTGATACTTTTTTCTTAATATTAAATTTTTACACTATCATAAGATATTTTTTATCATTTTTATTTATTTATTTTATTTATAATATATACTTCTATTTTTAAAATTTTGCAGATAAAAATTATAACAAAAACATTTATTAAATATAAGAAATTGCTGCACAGAAATATTTTATAAAACAAATCATAAGTATATCATTGATTATGAATATTATTTGGGAAAACTAATTCTTATCAATATGATTTCATAAGATTTTTAAATATATTTTTTCGATAATTTAATTATATATTAAACTATTTTTAAATTGGCGAAGATAACAAATAATATTAATGATTTTTAGTCACATATGTTTAACATTTTCATATGAATTTTTAGTTATAATTCTTAATATTTATTATAATTAAAGAGATATTCAAAAGTTGATATATTTAATTAACATATCAATAATATATAGAATGTAGCTTGGATCACTATTTTTATTTTTGAAAATTTCATTATACATATGAATTTTTTAATTCTTCTTTCAATTTACCAACCATGTCCAATTTGTTTCATTTCGAGAACTTTCCGCATTAAACGAATTTTATTGCTGTGTTATATTTCGATTGTTTTCACTTTGATTTTATTGACATGACGATAAAACTATGTATTATTCCATGTCGCTATTTTTTGTTAATAACTTGTTAATAAAATCGAAATGAAAATTTTTACAAAAAAAAGTGATTGAAATTATGTACTTTAAAAATCTGCAATTTAATTGAGAAATTTTTGAAATGTTTATATGTACAAAAATAAAATGAATTTTTATATTATTAATAAATCGCAGAGAATCTAAGAAAATCTGCTGTTTTTCAAGATTGATATTTTGAAACGAAAGATTAATTCAGACATGTCTAGTAATTTATTTGGTGAGTTTTCATTTGTTATTAAATGTTTTAGTGCATAAAAAAATATGTGAAATTTGAGTTTTATAAAAAAAAGAATAGTTGACTAAAATAAATAAATTGTTAAAAGTTAAAAAATTTGTAAAAAGAACTTTTCTGAAAAAAGTGAACAAAAAAAGAAACAAAAATATATGAAAATAATATAACTAGCATTTATACGTAATATAATATACGTATAATATATATAATATATATAATATACATATAATATATTTATACATATTAAACTAAAATTATAATTTATAAAAAAAAACATTTTTATTGATATTTAGTTTATCTATATCTTTAAATTTATATTAAAACTGATAGTAATAATAATTTAAAAAATATTACAATAAGATTTCTTTATTCACAGGTTACTCAATCTTTCACATTCTTTCCATTTCTGATAGTAGTTTATTTTTTATTTTATTTTTATTTATACTTTCTATTTTATTATAAAATTACATATATTTTTATAATTATGTGAATAAAGAAATACGTTCAGATAAATCAAATCAGTTTTTAATAAATAATGCGAAAAATTTCGAGTAAAAATATCAATGAAATAGATTTCTATTCAAATAATTTGTTTTAGTAATCTAAATCCTAGTATTCAGTAAGTTACTAAATTACTAAAGTTACTAAATTATTCATTCGATTAAGTTATTGAACATATCTAAACCAAAATATATATATATTATATATATTATAAACTTTTATAAGATATGTTTGTGTTAATAACTTTAATATCTCATCTTCATAATTTTAAATTAGATATGATATTTAGAAAACTATTAACTTATACAATTATAAGATATAATTTAAAGATAATTTGTATTTTAAAGTTAAAGTTAACTAAACTTTAAAGGTAACTTTATTTTGAAGTACGAAAAATTGTTAACTTTTATATTTTCTTATACTTTCTAATACTTTCTAATATTTTCTAATAGTTTTTGATGAATAAATTTTAATTTTAAATTTATGAATTCTCTAATTCAAAAGTTATTTGTATATAAAGTTAGTGATTTTAAGTGATAAGTTACTAGAATGTCATATTGATTTCTATCCATAGTTCGTTTGAAAATTTGCTAAATGTTATGATTAATGATGATGCGAAATCATTGCTTCTTGTGAATAAATTCATTAATATTTTTAAAGTACTATTGATAAATTGATCAAGGTAAATTTTTCTTTAATCGTCTATGTAATACTAACAATTTTTATTACTATTATATTGATAAGTTATTTTTTATTTATTTTAAATTTTAAGTGGATTTTTAAACTTAAAATTAATATTTTTGTATATTATTCGTTGAAAATTATTAAAAGATAAAAAAAATCAACAATTTTAGATGCCTTAATATAAATAAATAATGTTTAACCAAATTTAAACTTTTATTTTATTTTATGCATTTATATTTGATATAGATAATTTAATATTATTAAATATATACATATAAATAATATTGATAGTTTTGAAAATTAAGTCAGATTTTATTGAAAAGTAATAATAAATTTAATTTAATGTTCATTTAATATAATGAAATAATATAATATATATATATGTTTTTTGCATTTTCATTTTATTTATTTCATAATCTAATTAAAAATAATTAATTTTTATTATTTTATACAAAATATTATATTATTCATTTCATAATATTTTTTTATTTTATGTATATTCTAAGAAATTTTTTTTTTTTATATAGGATGTCTTAATCATACAATTAAACAAAAGGATATTCTACAAATGAATGTAAGTTGAAAGAAAAAAACTTATTTATTTATAATCATTTGAAATTTCTTCTTATTTTGTTAATAATTTGTTAATAATTGTTTATTGCATTTATATACATTATATATATTTATTCTTTATTATTCTTTTAAGTAGATTGCTTATATTTTCATATTAATTTTTTGAATTCTTAGTTTCATTTTATTTTAGATAATGTATTTAATCGTTGTTTTCAAAATTTTTGTTTCATGTGCAATTTTTCAAAACCTGATATGATGTGATTTTTTTTTTAATTCATTTAGTAATATTGTTAGTAATAATTCATTTTCTACTTTTCTTATAATGTACTTTGATTCATTCTCATTTGTACATATATTAATGTTTCATTTTTGTTAGGTTTTTTATTTTTGATGTGATCAAAAATAATATATAATATATAAATATATATAATATATATAATTGTTTAATTTGTTTTCTAATAATTAATGGAATTTATATTATATTGTTTCAAATAAAATTTTTAATGAAATTATTGAAATTTATAATTTTATTGAAAATAATAAATAATAATCAAAGCTTGATTTAAAAAATTCATTAAATTATTCATTAAAAAGTAAAATTATTATAATTACTTGATTTAATTAATTAATTTTTTTAATCAAAAATTGTTTTTTCTTTCAATTCAATCTTTTCCAAAAATCTATTAACATTTACATTATTTTATATAATATATTGAAATCTATTTCAAACTTGTACAAAAAAAATTTAATTTTGAAGAATATTATTGTAAATTCCTTATAATAAACAATTTACATCTTTATGATAAGACAATTGATAAAATAACAATTATGATATAAAACTTTCATATTCATAAAACTTTTTTTTAGCTTTAAATTTGTATGCAATAAATATTCAATGTTTAAATATTATTCAAAATAAATTTATATTTTAGTTATTTATTAATAGCTTTATAGGTTTGTTTATTTATAAACTGGATTATTTTATATATATTATAATTATATATTATATTATATTATAAATTATAATATATTAATTATAATATATTATATTATAATCTTGATTATTTTATTTGCAACAATTTGATATACATTAGAGAATAATGAAAATTGTATTTATTATATCTCATTATACTAACTCTAATTATAATTTTTTATGAGTTATCAATTCCATATAATGCTAATAAACTTAGTTTTAATTTTTGTCTTTATTATTGTTTTCGTTTCTTTTCTTAAAATAATAAGTCAAATTAAATTAATTAATTACAAATACTTTTTATATCAATTTAAATCTAATGTTAACATGTATCTTTTAATATTTTATATTCTTTTCTCTCACTTTCTTCATATTGTATATAAATTTATTCTTTCTATTTCTAAGTTAGTATTTATTTAAATTTTTTTATTTTCTATCTTTTTGTTTTTATTTATTATTATATTTATGTATTTATTATTTATAATTAGCATATTTTTTAATTATTTTTCTTGATTTGTATCTAATAGTACAAATCTGTCTTTTTTTATTGATTTATATTTTTCTTTTCTATTTTTTTCTTCTCTTTTTTTCTATATTTAAATTTTTTTTATATCTTAACATTGTATTTTATTGGCTAAATATTATTAGTATTACTTTGTATTTTAAGGCATATTTTTGCACTTTTATTGCTTGTATCTTAATTATTTTAATATTTGTATTTTCTTCATATTTAATCTTTTTTTTATATATTTTTAAGTCTAGAATTTTTTCTTTTCATATTTTTCTTTTATTTATTGGCAGAATTATAGAACCTTATTATTATATTATCACGTTGTTTTTTACTTCTTCTATATTTGTTTATTTGTTATTTATATCTTTAATTTGTTTATTTATGTTTCTATTATTAAATATTTTTATTATGTTAAATCAATAATTCTGCAGAATTCAATTATCATTTATTTCAATTTTTTATACCATAATTTTTTTATAATTCATTTTTTGTATTATATTTTTTAGGTCCTTCTCTAACTTCTACAGATTTGTATTAAATGTATTTTATCATCATGTAAGGTAAGTCTTTATAAATTCTTAATATATTTTTTATAGAGTGGTAAATTTTTTAAATTTTTATATATTATTAATTTTTATATATATTAATCTTTAAAATGATTA